AATTAAATTCCATCAAGAAATTGTAATCAAATTGTATTTAAATTTTAAAATAATTGAATTTTTCCGTAGAATTCTATAACTCATGAAAATAATCGAATCCTTGCGACGAATTTTACTAAAATTTTGTGAAAATAATTGAATTGTTAGGATGAATTTAATTAAATTCTAATAAATAAATTATATCAAATTTTTTTAAAATAATTTAATTCTTTTGAAGAATTTTAATAACATTCCTGATAAGAACTTTATTATTTATAAAAATAATAGAATTCTTGTAAAAACTTTTATAAAAATCTTTTTGAATAATGGATTATTTCGAAAAAATTCTATGTAAATTGTATTTTAAATAATCGAATTCCTGTAAAAATCTTATTATTTATGAAAATAATTGCATGTTTGCAAAGAATTTTATAAACATTTTTTTTAATAATTAAATTCTTCAATGGGAATTTTTTTATTAAAATAGCAGATATTGAAAATAATTAAATGGTTTGAACGAATTTTATTAAAATTTTTGAGAATAACTTTTTTATTCAAACTATTAGCGAATTTAAATTAGTGCAAATTCTCAAAAAAAAATAAGAAAAAAGTAGCTTTTAGTGTCACAAATCTAAAAAAATATCCAAATAGTAGCAAATCGTAAAAAAAGTAGTAAATAGTAGATTTTAGTAGATGAGTACGAAGCCTGAACTTTTTCAACTGCGAAGGGAATATAATTAAAAAATTAATGTAATAATGATAAAATTCACGAATCGGCTATAATATGTATATTAAAATACAGTATCATTAAAATTTATTTACTCACTCCAAAAAAGTTCATAAATTACATGAAATTACACAATTACGTGTATAAGTTCATTATACCGCAATCAAGAATTTATGAAAGAAATGAAAAATTTGGAAAAAAAACTATAGTATATTTTGAATAATAGACAAGCAAAATGAATTTTCTCCAAATTGAGTATTATGTACCAATTTGGAGAAAATTACTAGCGTTTCATTGAATGAATTTGTATGTAAAGTATGGTTGTAAAGCATGTAAATTTGTAAACCCTAAACACGGGAAAACCAGCTTCACGTCAGTGGCGTCCCCCAGGATTCATGTCACGTCATATCGTGGCGTAGATTCGGGATCCCAATATTTACCTCCAGGGAATCGTATTCACTTGTTAGGTACACTTTTTATATGCGTTTTATCCAATTCACGAAATTTTTCACGTCTAAGTAATTTTAACAGTCAAAAAAGTAAAATTAAGAAATTTATATTTACCCCGTTATTTGATTGTTCAGAAAAAAATAATTTTTCATATTTACACGTGGCAATTAGTCAGTGAAAAATATCTAGCTTTACAACTGTCTTTAAACTTATTCTCAAAAATTAAAAACTAAAACCAAACTAAAACTCCAAAAGAAGTTTTTCCATATTTCGAAAAAATCTAATAATAATTTTTTGTTTATATTAATAAAGTCGTCTGATGATGACGACAAACAAAGCTACCAAAAATTTGCCAATTTAATAAAAGGTGATCAATTTACAAATTACTTTTTATAATTAATTAACTTTCAATATAATAAAAAAATATGATACAATTAAAAGGAAAAAGTATTCTTAACATTAAACTGAAAATATTGAATATTGAACATAAAATTAAGTATAAATCTTTTGTACATAGACACTTCTTAAAGATTTAAATTAAACTTTTTGCTTTTAAAAATTATTTGCTTTTAATAAACGAATTGAAATAAATATAAAAATACAAAATGTGAATAACTTTCGAAAATATTGTTTCCTTTATCTTCGGAATTTCTTTTTTTTCGTCTTGTGTTTTTCTAAGGGAAAAAGTCTTCTACAGAAAAATTGTTACATTTCCTTTTTCTTTCTTTATATATGAAAAAAATAATATTTGTTCGTAGTTTAAAAGAAATATTTTATTACAAAGAAATACGTGTTTTTAATGAGTGAAAAAATTTTCCATGAAAAGAAAAAATTCCCCGACTATTCTCAACAAAAAAATACAAAGAAAATAGAAATATTTCAAAAAAATTATATGAGTATAAAAAATATTAATGAGGCAATTAAATTATTCACTTCAATATGACTACTATAGCATCAACTAGTACTTCTTACTACGTTTTTCAAATAAAATTATCAACTTTAAAAATAATAGAATTTAAATATTTTCTAATTTAAATTTTTGTTAAAAACACTAAAAAAATCCAATTTTGGAGAAATTACAAATAATTGCAAAAAATTCAATTATTTTCAAGAAAAAAAATTCTTATAAAATTCAACTATACGTTCAAAATTAAAAAAAAAATTCTCGTAAAAATCCCAATTATTTTTATAAATAACAAAATTCTCGTAAAAATAAGAATTGTGCAAATAATTTTCTTCTTTTTCTAAAACAAAATAATAATTTTGTTAAAAAAATTGTGATTCATAAACAAAAATAATGCAAAATAAATAAATTTTTTATTTCTTAATAAATTACAGTTGTTTAACAATTTTCTAATTTTGTTTAGAAGTAAAGAACAAAAATCTGCATAAATTCAATTTGACAAAACATAATATTTAACAAAATTTTAGTCTTTTAATGAAAAGAAGTGAAAAAAATTCTAATGATTTCTATTTGTCATTACAATTTTGAATTATAAAATAAAAATAATTATAACATTAATTAGTTATTAATAATAATAAAGTACACTGTAAAAAATTTAGGTAGTTAACGGACTCGGGAGTTGGGAGTGAAATTTTTCGAGTTAAAAATCAACTCCAAAAGAGAGTTAATTTCTAACTCCCTTCATTCAACACCCGCGCGAGTTATTTTTACCTTGGGGAGTTAGCATTTGGCTGTGAAGTTTTAACTCTCTTTATTTAACTCCCCTGGCATTAACTCCAAATGGGTGCGACTTTTATAGAATCCCCTGGGGAGTTAAAGTTTAACTCCCTTTTTTTACAGTGTACATGTTCCGGTAATCTGTTTGAAGTTTGAAGTTAGTTGTTGTTTGTTTTTTTGTTTCTTAAATTTTTAATAATTTTTCTTTTCAAATATTTTTAATCTTAAAATTAATGTATTGAAAATCATCGAATTGTTGCAAAGAATTTTATCAAAACATTTGATAATAATAGAATGCCTTCAAAGAATTTTATTATTTAGGAAAATAACTGAATTCTCGCAAAGAATTTTATTAAAAATTTTTAAAATCCTAATTAAATTCTTTGAATTTTTTTTAAACTAATGGAGTTTCTTCAATAATTTTAATTGAAAATTTTAAAAGCAATTGAATTTTATTGAAGAAGAATTTTATTCAAAGTGAATTGAAAATAATTGAAATCTTGAGAAGAATTTTACTATTTAAAAAATAGTTGTATTGTTACGAAGAAGAATTTATTAAAACTTTAGGACATAATTGAAATTTATGGAAATATTTAAAAATATTTGGATTCATCCGAGGAATTCAGTTAAAATTGTTTTGAAAATAATTGAATTCCTCTAAAGGATTTTACTATTTATAAAAATAATTGAATTATTGCGAAGAATTTTACTTTTTTTTTAAATAATGGAAATGTATCGAAGAATTTATTAAAATTTTCAGAAATAATTAAATTTTTATGAAGAATTTTATAGAAATATTTGAAAATAATGAAATTTTTTCGAGAAATTCAATTAAAGTTGTTTCGAAAATAATGAAATTTCTTTAAAGAATTTTATTATTTGTTTTGAAAATAATTCAATTCTTTCAATTTTTTTGACGAATATATTTAAAAATTGCATTGAAAATAATTTAATTTTTGTAAAGAATTTTTTTAAAATGTTTTAAGAATAATTGAATTATTTTTAGAGAATTTTAAATTCTTGTTGAAATTGCATTTTATGTAAATTTTTGAAAATAATTAAATTCTTTCGTGTAATTTTATTTAAATTTGATTAAAAATAAATTAATTCTTCCAAAGAATTTTCGTATTTAAAAAAATAGTTGAATTGTTTCGAAGAATTTATTAAAATTTTAGGAAATGATTGAAATTTATGGAAATATTTAAAAATATATGAATTCATCCGAGGAATTCAATTAAAATTGTTTTGAAAATCATTGAATTTTTGTAAAGATTTTACTATTTAAAAAAAATAATTGAATTCTTTCGTGAAATTTAAAAAAAAAATTTGAAAATATGAACAGTATCTAATAATTAATTTTGTACTTAATAAGTAAATTTTGTAAATTTTGATTATGAAATTATTTTAAAAATTTATATTTGAAAATAAAAAATTTTGTAATTTGCATAACAATAATAAATTGAATATCACGTTCTGCGCGTAACATTTGCTAGTAATACACTCGAATCTCGCTATAACGAGAAGTTCGGGAGTCAAGTCTCCCTCTATTACGAGCGCAAGAGGAGAAATGAAAAATCCCCACTTTTAAGATTCTTCATTCATTTTTTTTGTGTTTACAATTTACGTAATGTCAAAATTACAAACGTAACCTAGTTTAATTTGAACTTCAACATACAGAAAATTTATATATAAGCTAAAATTTTGAAGATATTCGACTCATGGATATAATTTAAAAAAAGAAGTGACTTTTTATGCTCATTGTGATATAAATAAAATTGATTTTAACCAAATTTAAATCAACAGAATGTGCATTTGTTTATAAATAGTGGGGGTAATAGGAAGGAAATTTTTCTCGCTATACCGAGAGACGGAGCCCTCGTTATAGAGAGCGCTCGTTATAGAGAAGGTCGTTATAGCGAGATTTGAGTGTAATATAATATACAATCTATCTAAAGATAACAAAAAACAAAAGTATAAACAAAAGACAACTTCAGAGTGTGAGGGACAGAAAAAGTGAATGAATGAAAGAACATTCAAATTATTATAGTTAATTATAGTTAATTTTTTCTGCAATAAAAAATTGTAAACATAGAGAACTAATTTATAAATTGCGCAAATTAAAATAAAATGAAAAATGAATGAAAAAATTGAAAAATAACTTACCGAGAAATAATTCGTTGAAATCTCCCCTTCCACCGATGAACACACCGTAATGAATATTTAACTCAAAAAAATGTCCCCGCAGGAGAAATTCAGTGTTATGTATTACGTCAATTTGCAAAGTAATTTTTCCCTCTCGCCTTGTCAAGTTGATCTCGTGCCAGTTGTTATCATTAAGAGTCAGACGTTGAGCACTAGGTATTTCGCTCTCGCCAGCGCCTAAATTAATGTGAACCTGCAAAAAATGAAAAAGAAAAATGAAAACAAAAAAAGAATTTCAATTAATAAAATACGAAATCTCTCTCGTTAATCTGCGTGGATTTGTCAACTGCCGATTGCATAAGAGATAGTAAAGCTCCTCTATATAGCGGATGCTTCTTTGCTTCTCTTCCATTTTAATTAGTCTCATCACTGACTTTAGAAGATTTTCCACGGAATTCTGAATCATAATTACCTTATCTAACTTGATGCTTTCACGGTATAAATTGTTCTAATTATTTCATTATGTTATGCTAGTATATATAATATACAAACAGCTAGTTGCGAAATCTCAAAATATAAATAACAAACTATTTATGTTTGTAATAATTATTTTTACACTTATTTTTATAGATACTTTTTATACTAGTTTTATTATTTATATTTAAAATTTTTTTTGCTAAAATATTCCATATTTCATCGCATATTAATTTTAATATATAAAATGGATAAATTTTATTTTAATTAATCAAAATTGATTTCATTACAATATAAAATTGATTAAAATTTTTATTTAAAAAAAATAAATAATTTAGTTGCCTCTGAGACAAAAACTTTTATTCGTCTCAGTAAATATATTCAATAAGTTATCTTTGGTTTAAATAACATTTTTTTTCTGGATATATCAAAAAACTCAAGAAAAATTTAATTACTGCTTAAATTTTTTTTTTTTTTTTTGACAAAAATTTAATTGCGAATCTAAAATTAGTTTCGTTGTATGTCATACATTTTCTGTGCATTATACAATATAATTTCAGTAAAATTTTCTCAAAATTTAATTTTTTAAATAGCATTTTTGTAAATTTTAATTATTTTAAAAATTTTCAATTATTTGCTTATAAAAATTCAATAAACTTTAAAAAATAGAGAATAATTTTTTGATTTCTAGTATTAGCGAATTTAAAGTAGTGGAAATTCTTAAAACAAAAAAGCAGAAATAGTAGCTTTTAGTGGCTGAAATCGAAAAAAAGTACCCAAATAGTAGCATAACGTAAAAAAAATAGTTAAATGTTTGTTTAACGTTGTTGTGCCTATAATAGCAAAAAAATTTTCAAAAATCCACTGTTTCGACAACCTTTATATTTGTGGTTGGTACACTTGAGAAATTTTGCCCCATATAAACCTTCTTGCAAATATATATAAGTGTGATTTGATTATATGAATTCTTGAAAAGTCCTTTAAATTCCTTTTAAAGTAACTGTAGAAATGAGAACCGCACGTAATGTTCAATTTTCTTTTGCTTGGGGCATTGCGGAGTCTAAACTTAATAAAGTTCTCCAAGAACGTACCTCTTCAATGAGAGAAATCGTAAAAACCTTTTAGAGAAACTTTGAATTTTATATATATATATATATATATATATATATATATACACTATTCTACACATTTTGCTATAAAATTTTTTTTTTTTTTATAAAAATTACATCATTTACCAGATCGCTTGATTTGCATTCTTCTGTGAGAGAAAATACTTCATTTTTTTGGCAGCCACTCTGTGTCGATCACATTGACAGATTTTGCATAGTCATTGAACGTTTCTCAACACCTTTTTTTTATCGCTTTTGCAATTCCATCGTGTTACGAAAAAAACTCCGTTTATGTCTGTCCCTGGTGTAATTTGTTTTCTGGGAAATTGTGTAAAAAAAAATATTTATTTTTTACAAAAAAAAAAAGAAGGAAAACTCCATCTCTCTTTAAAATATACATATAAAATTTTTGTTTTTTATGTTCTTTATATATAGGACGAAATTTTTCAAGTGCTCATACTAACCTCAAATATAAGGATTGTTGCGAAGGTTTTTTTCTCTTTTTTTCAATGGTGTATAAATTTTATTCAACAAAATTCAATATTAAAATATTTTTTTTTCTGTTTGAAAATTCGAAATTATTTTTGACTACTTTTTTAAAATATGTGTAACGATTTTGAAAAAAATATTTTAAATCTTCATTAATAGAAAAAATCTTATGGACAATAGTCGATAAAAATTCTCATTTAAACTATTATTAATTTAATTATAGTTAAGATTGAATATTTCTTCGCGCAGTAATTGACACATTTTTATTAAATGCATCCGCTCTAATTACTGTCAGCAAAATAACCTTAAATACATATACGCTATTTTCGTGACAGTATAATTAAAGCACAGAAAGTTAAAAATATAACATTTATGTTGAAAGAAATGATTCTTTCAACATAAATGTCATATTTTCCGTTAACAAGGTGTTTTGACTGGAATCGCACAGTAATTGGTTCATTTACCCTATTATTATTTATATCCAGTACATTTTTGATAAAAATTTTTTTACTTTTCTTAAAAAAGCATTAAAAAGATTAGGAATTTTTTTTAAAGAATAATTTTCTTTTTAATATTTCGAAATACACGATAAATACCACTTGCTTTTGATTGTCCTCGAAATACATAAGGTATGATAATAAAAAATAAACTACATAAAGTACATAAAATATTGCGCCTTTCCGACTTTTATAGTCTCAAGTGAGTCATTTTGTAAATATATATATATATATATATATATATATATATATATACCCACTACAAAAAAGTACAGGTATATATATTCAGGTAACTTTTTGAGATAACAATTTAATTTAGTCTTTGAAATTCATTTGTTTTGCAAGCACATCTTTTTTGATAAGAGAACACTTATTACAATTACACAATGCAAAACCATGAAACCCAAGGATCTGGAAATTGTACTTGGAACTGCAATTTCTCCTCTCGATTTAACTGCGTAATATTATAAAAAAAAAATTGTAGTCGCGCGTCTCGTCAACATTCCAATGAATTTCAGATTAAATTATATTCCCTTCATTTCTATTTGCTCGGCAAATTTAATTATAGTTACTCTCATTTTCTTTCTACTTTAAAAAAAATTTCTTTATATTCTCAACATTTCTTTTAATTTTCAAAAATAATTTTTTATAACGAAAATACGTTTTCTATTTTGGGTTTTGCTGCTGTTTTTTAACACTTTCTAATGGTGTAAACAAATGTAGAGAAAAAAAATGTTAGACCTTGAAAAATTAAATTAAAAAATAAAATTTCATTTTTTCATCAAATGGACAGTTTTTATTTTTTAAAAAAAATTTTTATCATAAAGGTGACGTTTTTTCCTAAAAAAAATGTATAGGTCAAAACGTGGGACAAGAACTTTTAACTGGTCAAAATAAACATTTACTTCTGCAATCCACCGCCCCTGCTCGTTGTTGGGCTATATATTGTTTATAACAATTGAAATAAATTATTTTATGCTTTATTAATTATCTGGTGGTCATATTGGATGAATTTAAATTTATTTAGATCATGTGCATCAACGAAATAAGAAAATAAACCTCCTTTTTTTAAAAAAGTGTATTAATTTGTTAACTTTGATTTAAAAAAAATTATAAATAATTAAAATCTCCAAAATCTGCCTCGAAGGATGTCTTAAGAATTTATTCCCCTTTAACTTAAGACAAAGAACACTCAAATCGGTTAAAAATTGTAAGCTATAGACATTTTTTAATAGTAAATTGTAAAAAAAATTCCACTGTGGGACGGTGCACGGCAGAAGTAAATGCTTAATTTGACTAGTTAAAAGTTCTTGTCCCACGTTTTGACCTATACATTTTTTTTAGGAAAAAACCTCACCTTTATGATAAAATTTTTTTTAAAAAAATACAAACTGCCCATTTGATAAAAAAATGAAATTTTATTTTTTAATTTAATTTTTCAAGGTCAAACAATTTTTTTTCTCTACATTTGTTCACACTATTAGAAAGTGTTAAAAAACAGCAGCAAAACCCAAAATAGAAAACGTATTTTCGTTTTGTTTTAAAGAAACTACAAATTTTTCAAATATTCCATGTAAATTTTTGACCTGGGTCACTTGACGTGGAACCCGTCATATATTAGTGTTCAGAGATCGTTTTGCTATAATTTTGTGGTATTTAGAACGTTATAAAATGGCTTTAGTAGTCTTAATACAATAAATAGTGAAAGCTTGTTCGATTTGTATGAAAATGGCGGCCGTCTTCTCCCTTGGGCAAGAAAAATGCATGTGAACAGCTAATTTTCTTGCCCTTGGGAGAACACGGCCGCCATTTTCATACGATCGAAGAAATGAATGACTTTCCTCCCTGTCGACTGCTATCAGAAAGCGCCGTTTTTGTGCATGTGGGATAAAAATGCATATTCTTTTCAATTACGCAGAAATTTTACAAATTTGATACATTTAGGAGAATAAAAGCGCATTATTTAACTATTTTTGTTTAAAAAATGAAGCATTGTTTTATTTCATTTATTTGCAGTGGTGGATGGCTGTGGAGACAGGCGTTTTTGTACTATGTCTTTTCTAATGTTTTTTAAACCATTTTTTTTGTTTTTTGTCTTTGTTTAATTCTTACGTTACACTTTTACAGTCTTTCTCGTGATGAAAAACACAAAAAAAGAAGTAAAACATAAATAAAAACAAACAAAAACATTAGGTGGCCAACTTAGGACCACTGTAGATTTTTACAAGTTTCAAATTATTACGCTAATAAAAAAATTCAATTAAAAATTCAACATAACCTCTTATTACAACATTAAATAAAGGAACTAGCGCACACACACTGAAAAAAAAGTGCTGTTGAATCAAATATCTCCATGCTATTGAATTCCCCGTCATTGATTCAATGACACATTTATTAATCGAAAAGTATATTGCTTAAAATGAAAAAATGAAACTGTTTAAATTAAAAGTACGGTACTGTAGAATTAATGATATTGTGCAAATTGTTTCTATAGTTCATCTATATATAGCAACAGAATAATTTATTGCTTCTTTGACATTATTCATTTGAAGCATCTAATAGATAAATTTGAAGAAAATGCATGTAAATTTAAATCAAATGAAAAATTGTTTGCTCCAAAGAAGCGCGCTCTGAAAACGAAAGCATATGCTTTCGTTTCAATGAGTGGTGCTATTGCGGACTGCCTATAGCATATGCTATAAAAATAAGAACACTATGTTTTGAGACATTGACAGGTACTAAATTTATTGAAATACTTACCCACATATATTTATATGTTTATTAAACCTGTCGTTTTTGAGATTCCAATATAAAAAAGTATTATTTAAATTCTTTTAATTAATTAATGACTAGTTAAATATAAATTCCCTATATAAGTTCCCTTATATACGCGAAAAATCTCGAGCACGGTATTTAACCACAAAGTAAGTGCCCAACGTTGAGAAGCGGATGTATTACATTGCAGCGCGGCGGTTCTCGTCTATTACGGAAGTTAAGCGTCGTTGGTCGCGGTTACTAAATGGATGGGTGACCGCTTGGGAATAGCCGTATTTTTCTGACTAAAAAAGATAAGTGTGTTTGAATGTGTATGTGTGTGTGTGTTTAGCCGTTGGAAAAAATGAAAATAATAATAAAGATGTATATGTTAGTGTGAAAAATTGAAAAAAAGATGTGTATAAAAAGTGTTGTGTTAAAGGTGTGAGAATTAATTATAGTACAGTCGAACCTCGATAACTGAGAATCCAAGGGACCGAAAAAATTTTCTCACTTATAGAGGTTTCTCAGTAAGACAGGTTTTCACTTACGAAGGTCGAATAGCGGATTGTCTTACTTACTGAGGTTATTGCACTGATAGAGGCATTGTAAGGGTTTTGTTAATTAAAGTTTTACTTTTACGAAATAAAAAATTCCTTTTAATTATTTATTTAACAAATTTAATAAAAATTGTTATTAATTGTTATTAATTGTTATTAAGCTTTAGGAAAAAAGTCTGTTATTACTGTTTGTTTTTTAGTTGTGCAATTCTTAACATGATGTTCAAGTTCATAAATTTTGTCAAAAACTGATTCATTAATATTCGTCGAAAATTCAAAAAATCTGTGAATTGTCTCTAATGCACTTAAAACTTCTTGTTGTTTTGGAATGGAAACTTCTGCGATGGTTGAATTCTCGACTTCTTCACAATCATCATCATCAAAATTGTTGTTACAATTTGCAATAATGTCATCGTCTGTCAGCTCTTCTGCAATAGGCATGTTGTCGTCAACTCGTACAAAATCCTCAAATGTTATAACATTTGTTTCGTCAGCCACAAGTGTGTTCCATTCTTCGTTGCTAGGAACAGTTTCAACGAGACTTTCTTCTGGTCCATATCCCTCTTCATTCCAAAAACCAGCTTTTTTAAAGCAATTTTTTATGGTCACATCGGTGATGGCAAACCACGCTTTTCGAGCAAATCTCATAGCATGAAGTACATTTATGTCCTGGTTACTATTCTCCTCGATACATTTTAAAGCATGTTTGACTACTTGTGTTCGGTAATGGCGTTTAAAAGCGTGGATAATACCCTGATCCAACGGTTGCAATTGGCTGGTAGTATTAGCGGGCAAAAGAACGAGTTTTACGTTGTTGAATTCTGGCAAATTCGTGTGGGCAGTGCAGTTGTCTACAAAGAGAAGAATTTTTGTTTTTTCATTTTTCATTTTTTTGTCAACTTTTTGTAGCCATTCCGTAAATATTTGCCTCGTCATCCAAGCTTTTCTGTTACTTTGATACTCAACGGGTAGAGTATTTACACCTGTATAAAGAAATTACAAATTGTTAAATAATCAATTCATTTACAGATAATAATACGGACCCTAATATTTAGACCACTTTACATATAAATAAATAATTTACCTTTAAAACATCGAGGTTTTTTTGATTTTCCAATTAAGAGAAGAGGCAATTTTTTTGTCCCTGTCATATTGGCACAATGGAGAACAGTAAGGCGATCTTTACTTTGTTTTCCTCCTTTGCAATCTTGTCCTTTAAACGTAAATGTTTTATCCGGAAGGCACTTGAAAAATAATCCGGTCTCGTCTGCGTTGTAGATGTTGTCTGGGTTATATTCTTTTAAAAGAGTTGGCAAATATTCAATCCAATGATCGCATACATTCTGATCGACAGATTTACTTTCCCCAACAATTTTTTTAAAAACTACAGAATGTCGTTTTTTAAAATTATCTAACCAACCATTACTTGCTCTAAATTCCTGAACTCCTAGTTTTTTGGCAAAATCTAGAGCCTTTCCTTTTAACAAGGGCCCATCCAAAGGGATATTTTTATCTAAAGTTTGTTTAATCCACTCCACAAGGCAATTTTCCAGATCATGAAATTCAACTAACCGTTTTCTTTTCATATTTCCACGACCTTCAAAACACTGCGATTTTATAGAGTCTTTTTCTTTTAATATTCTATAGAAAGTGGCAGTTGATAGACTAAATTCACTTTCTATTACACTTCGTTTTTTTCCACTTTCAATCTCTTTTATAATTTTTAGTTTTTCACTTAATGAAAAAGATTTAAGTTTACTCTTTGACATTTTGAATATTAAAAATAAACTATGTGATTCGCAAGCGCTTCTTGTCACAGTCGTTTTGAAACTAAATTTAAATTTGTCTGATAGGTATAATTGTATTTTGAAGAAAGACCCTTTGTTAATATGAAAATAAGCAGTAATTAAAATTAATTTTAATTACTGCCTATTTTCATATTGACCTTTAGAAAATTATAATATAGAAAAGATTCTCAGTTATAGAGGTTTGAAAAGCGCGCTTCTCTCAGTTACAGAGGTTTTATCAAGAAAAATGATTCTCAGTTACAAATTCGCACTTATGGAGGTTTTTGCATGTAAAAATGACGGGACCTGAAAATTCCTCTCACTTAGAGAGGTTTCTCAGTTAGACAAGTCTCAGTTAGCGAGGTTCGACTGTATATAAAAAACATGTGAACAAAAATTCCCTTTTTTCAATTTATCGTTGGTATATATTTAACCACATAAAAGAATTGAATTAACAGTATGGTGTTATTCAATCGATAGCAACAACTAAAAAAATTAAGAGTACAAATTTTTGAATCATAAAAATGATGCTTTTAAATTTAAAAGTTATAGTCATTGACTCAAAAGCATATACTGTTAAATTAAAAAATTTTGTTTATTGATTCAAAAGGATTCACCTTGGAATTAACATAGTATGCTGTCAATTTGAGAAATATGCTTTTGTTTCAATGAAAGTGATACTATCGAATCATTAAAATCGGTGCTTTCAAAACGAAAGCATATACGTTAGGCAGCCCGTTATGACACTATTCAATGAATCAAACCCATATGTCATTGATTCAACAGCATTTTTTTCTCCGTGCACTTATTTAGAAATTTTTAATTATTTATCTCTTGTAGCTGCTCTCGAAAAAACAAGAAAAATTAAATTTTTTTGGTCGTAAACAATATTATTGTCCTCACAATGCGTAGACGAATCTTAGATTATAATTAGGTCCATAAATTATATCATGGTTTATCAATACATCATACCACAAAATTATAGATTCGTCGGATTCGTCCAGTATACCATCGTCCATCTCTGAGAAATGCAGGGTGGCCAACTTAGGCACACGGCCAACTTAGGACCATGCTCCCCTAAACATTTATTATTATTTATCATTTTCCAATAAATTAAAATTTTTCATATTTTATTGAATTAAAATTGAAATTTTTGAAAATTTAATTTAAAATTAATAATATTAGGGGAATGTAGTCAAGGTTGGTCTACTGTCTAGGTAGGCCATCGGGATTTTTTGGACAAGTTCACTAGCGCCACCTACGCGCATGCTTGTCGAAGCTTGTCTTAGTGAAACCTAACTTTTTGTTCAATTACATTTTCGGAAAATCGAAAATTGTGTTTTCTGTGACGTCGGTACAAAAAAAGCTCAAAAAAAGTTTTGTGCATAATGTGAAAAACCATTAATAAAAGATAAAAACAAATTGAATCGTCAAGGCAAGTATGCAGAAAATTTGTGGGACTCATGGTTGAAAGGAAAACAAAGTAAAAAATCGAATCCCGAAACGTATTTCTTTATGGTTACAACAATTCGGTAATGTTACTTACTGTCAAGGTCGGCCACTATGTGTTTAAAATGCGCAAAGATGAGGACGAGCTACTTCATTTGCAAAAACTGCAATTCTGTATAACTCATAATATAATTGATCATCTTATTAATATTTTTATTTAATTTTATTAATATTTTAGTGCAAAATTTTTTTTTATTTATATTTATTTTTTTATATTGTTTATTTTTATTATTTTGTTATTTCATTAAGTTACATACTGTAAACAATAAAGAATCAATTTTCCGTAACTCCAAACATGTTATTTTATTTTTTAACGATTAATGCCCTTTGAATTTTAAACATGGCCGACCTTGACTGTAAGGACCAACCTCGACTACAAATTTTTTTTTTTTAATCTTTATAACTTTTTCATTTTAAAACCTGTCAATTTACTTTGTACAGAAAAAAATGTTCCTATTAAACAGGACTTTCCAACCATATACTTCAATTGTCCAAATTCATTTTTTAAAAAAAGTTATAAACAAAAGTCAAAAAGGTGGCCGACCTAGACTATGTTCCCCTAATTATTCCTATTATTATTATTATTATTATTATTATTATTATTATTATTTATTTTAATTAATTTTTTTTAATTTAATTTAAACTCTTTTGAAATTTTAATATTATTATTCTTTTATTATTTTAAAACTTTTTCAGAGAGTTTCAGAGAGTCATTTGAGAATTAAGTTTGGTACAATTTTTAAAAATAATTGAAATTTTGAAAAAATGTAACTGAATAATTCAGTTTCAATTATTTTTTAAAAATATAAATAAAATAATCCAATTTTCGAAGAATTTTAATTATATGAATATGAAGTCAATTTTAAAAAAGATTTTAATTTACTTTGTACAAAGATAATTGAATTTTAAAAAATTATTATAAAACAATTCTAAAATTATTTTTGTAAAAATATTGCGTAATGTAATTTTTCGAAATTAATTGAATTTCTCAATATAATTTTTGCATATTTTCAAAAAAAAACTAATTAATATTTTAAAGAATTTTAATTAAAAATTTTAAACATGATTGTTTTTTTCCAAAATGTTAAAAATAATTCTAAAAAATTGTAATATTATTATATTATCTATGTATTTGAATTTTATAAAATTACAATGAAAAAATTCTAAGAATTACTGTTCTCAAAACTATTTTTATTATAGTTTTGAGAAACTAATTTTCAATAATTTTCATTTTTAAATTTACACTTGAAGATTTTTCATTAAAATTTATGAAAATTTAATTGTTTTTAAAATTTTGCAATTAAAATATTCTTCAAAAGTTGATTTTCAAAAATTGTAATAAAGTACTTGATACTTGCAAAAAATCAATTATTATTTTCAATTCAATTTTAAGAAATTTAATTGTTAAATTTTTTTTAATAAATTATAGGTATGTTTAAGAAAATCAATCATCTTAAAAAAATTATTAAAAAAAATAATTTTGTACAATTTGTCAAATAATTTTAATGTTTTTGTTATTAAAATTTGTTTGTATGCAGTTTAAATCAATTTTATTTATCTTTTTTTTTATTAAAATTTCTAATTTTCAATCGTAAGCAGTTTGTAAATTAATTTTGATAACTTTATTGTTAAAATTTGCTTCTATGCAATATTTTCGTGTGAAGTATATTGTATTCAGTTTAATTGTGGGAAACTGATATCGCCCCTTTAATTATTATCAATAGTTTTATCACTAATATAATGAACTAGAAACAATTCGCGCGCTAAAGCGCGCGGCTAACTTCTTGCTACCTTTTTTAAATAAAATTAGCAATTTTAAAAATAATATAATTTGAAAATTTTCTAATTTAAATTTTTGTTGAAAACACTAAAAAAATTCAATATTGGAGAAATTACAAATAATTTCAGAAATTCAATTATTTAAAAAAAAAAAAATTCTTATAAAATTCAACTATGTATAAATTTGAAAAAAAAATTCGTAAAAATCCAAATTATCTTTATAAATAACAAAATTCTTCTCCAAAGTTCAATTATTTTCATAAACGTCAAAAAAATTCTTTTAAAAAAAAAAAATTTTTTTTTTTTTAAATTTTCTTTTTTTTCAATATTTTTTTTCCAATATCTACTATTTTAATAAAATTTACCAAAAAAAGTTCAATTATTTTTAAAAAAATTTAATAAAATTGTATGTAAACATTTAATTATTTTCATAAATAATAAAAATTTCACAGGAATTCAATTATTTTCATAAATAATAAATTTTTTTTAAGGAATTCAATTATTATTTTCATAAAAAATAATTTAAAATTCTAGAAAATAATAATTAAATTGAAATGATGAAAATAATTTTGATGAAATTACAGTAACAATATTCTTATAATATAAAATAATGATTTTATCTCTCGGTGATCTTTAATTATTAGAAAACATGAAGACATCGATTGCTCCAAGTCTTCGACTCGGAGCAATCGATGTCTTCATGCTTTATAACAATACTTTTATTTTATAAGTTGTTTAATTTAAAAAAGGTTTGAATTTGGAAATTTTGAATGTCTTAGTTCCTGTGGAAAATCCTGTTCCAAAAATAAGATTAAAAATAGGAATTGTGCAAATATTTTTCTTCTTTTTCTAAAACAAAATAATAATTTTGTTAAAAAAATTGTGATTAATAAACAAAAATAATGCAAAATAAATCAATTTTCTATTTCTTAATCACAGTTGTTTAACAATTTTCTAATTTTGTTTAGAAGTAATAGAACAAAAATCTGCACAAATTCAATTTAACAAAACATAATATTTAACAAAACTTTAGTCTTTTAATGAAAAGAAGTGAAAAAAATTCTGCTGATTTCTATTTGTCATTACAATTTTGAATTAATTATAAAATAAAAATAATTATAACATTAATTAATTGTTAATAATAATAAAGTAAATGTTCCGGTAATCTGTTTGCAGTTCCAATTTAGTTGTTGTTTGCTCTTTTGTTTCTTAACTTTTTTATAATTTTTTTTTTCAAATATTTTCAACTTTAAAATTAATGTATTGAAAATCATAGAATTGTTGCAAAGAATATTATTAAAAAATTTACTTATAATATAATTCCTTCAAAGAATTAAATTATTTAGGAAAATAACTGAATTCTCGCAAAGAATTATATTAAAATTTTTAAAAATCCTAATTAAATTCTTTTGAAGAATTTCTTTGAATTTTTTTTTAAACTGATGGAGTTTCTTTAATAATTTTAATTGAAAATTTTTAAAGCAATTGAATTTTGTGAAGAAGAATTTTATTAAAAGTGAATTGAAAATAATTGAAATCTTGCGAAGAATTTTACTATATTTATAAAAATAGTTTAATTGTTTCGAAGAATTTATTAAAATTTTAGGAAATAATTGAAATTTATGGAAATATTTAAAAATGTTTTGATTTAATCCAAGGAATTCAATTAAAATTGTTTTGTAAATAATTGAATTATTGCGAATAATATTACTATTTATAAAAATAATTGAATTATTGCGAATAATTTTACCTACTATTTATAAAAATAATGGAAATGTTTCGAAGAATTTATAAAAATTTTAAGAAATAAATAAATTGTTATAAAGAATTTTATAGAAATAATTAAAAATAATAAATTTTTTTCAAGTAATTCAATTAAAGTTGTTTCGAAAATAATGGAATTTCTTTAAAGAATTTTATTAAAATTAAGTATATTCAAAATAATTGAATTCATCACAAGAATTTTATTATTTTTTAAAAATAATTCAATTCTTTCAATTTTTTCGAAGATTTTATATTTAAAAATTACATTGAAAATAATTTAATTTTTGTATAGAATTTTTGAAAAATATTTTGAGAATAATTTAATTATTTTTAGAGAATTTTAAATTCTTGTTGAAATTGAATTTTATAGAAATTTTGGAAAATAATTAAATTCTTTCCTGTAATTTTATTGAAATTTGATTAAAAATAATTTAATTCCTGCAAAGAATTTTAGAATTTGTAAAAATAGTTGAATTGTTTCGAAGAATTTATTAAAAGTTTAGGAAATAATTAAAATTTATGGAAATATTTAAAAATATTTGAATTCATCCGAGGAATTCAATTAAAATTGTTCTGAAAATCATTGAATTTTTGTAAAGATTTTACTATTTAAAAAAATAATTGAATATTGTTTAGAAGGATTTATTAAAATTTTAGAAAATAATTGAATTCTTTCGTGAAATTTTATTAAAATTTTTGAAAATACGAACATTAATAATTAATTTTGTACTTAATAAGTGAATTTTTAAAATTTTGATTATGAAATTATTTAAACAATTTATATATGAAAATAAAAACTTTTGTAATTTGCATAACAATAATAAATTGAATATCAGGTTTCACGCGTAACATTTGCTAGTAATAGTATAATATACAATCTATCTAAAGATAACAAACACAAAAGTATAAACAAAAGACAACTTCAGGGTGTGAGGGACAGAAAAAGTGAATGAATGAAATAATGAAAGAACATTCAAATTATTATAGTTAATTAATTAATTAATTGCTCACTATTTTCTTTATCCATAATTAGAAATTTTTCAAAATTTAAAATTATGCAAAATATGATTTTTTTCAAAGTTCAAACACAACTAAATTTTATTTTCACTAACCTACTAAATACAATTCGTTAATTAATTAATGTCTTGTCTAAAAAGGAAACAATAAAAAAAATTATTTAATTCAAATGGTATTAAAATACATCAGCTTTAATAATAATAATAATAATAATAATAATAATAATAATAATAATAATGATAATAATTTAACAAAATAATCGAAATTTCTATTGTTTCGTTTCTTTTATTCATTTTTCAAACTTAAGCCCAGATAAAACATAATTTTTTAGCAAGCTTGCTGCAAGATTAAATGTTATTCTATTGCTATAAGTGAGTAAATAAAATTGTTTAAAAATAAACGAAAGAAAAAAAATCTTTTCAGACTGACTTTTTAAAAAAGTTGATAATGCCGGACTTGTCAAGCAATTTTTGCACTGAAACAAAGAGAAGGAGACGAAAGTTCTTGCGCGCAGCCAGATCTTAATTCGTTGTGGCAGCTGTGTCGAGCGAAAAGTTAGGAATTGAAGCGTGTTAAGGAGGATGGTTTCTATAAATAGAGAGGAAATAAGAAGTGAAACGAACCTTTAATCTGCCAGCCTCAAGTTTGATTAAACAATAATCTGTCTTTCCCGCCGCTAATAGTAACATCGCATCAGACAGGTGAGTTCTAAATCGGAAGCTAATGTCAGTAGCACCTTTTGCCTCCTGCACCGGGAAATGGATGTAGCTCGCTCCATAAAACGATACTGCAAAACAAAACATAATTATATTTATTAATCAATTCTCTCGAATAAAGTATTTTATACATAAAATGAACATTTGTCTATTTATTTATTCATTTATTCATTCATCACAATGAGAATAATACACACAATCATTTTTCTATTTTCAAACAACAATTAAATGCGAATTCAAATTTATTTTACCCAAAAAAAAAAGAAATGTAAATAAAAAGAATAAAGAGACTAAAGATCCCTATATAAAGTATAAAAACATAATTTGAATTTAAAAATAGCATAAATCTCTTAAACTAATTGTATTTATGCAATGTGTGCGGATATATAAGTTGCAATTAACGTGATAAAAGTTTATGGTCGCAAATTCTCTATATTAAAACGCTGTGCATACAACGCACTTGCAATATAAATTCACTAACTCCTTCATAATATTAATCTTGCATCGTGCTAATAAATTTGTCCGTCATTCTTTTCACCGTTCTAACAACGTCAAAAGTTGTTTCGTCTGAGTCATCTTTGAACGCAACATAAATCAGAATACTTTTATAAAGAGAAAATGTTACAAGAATTTTCGATTATTTTTTTTTTTTTTTTTGTTCGTTGTTGTTGAAAATGTTATACACACACTAATCAAACTTTTATATTAAACTGATTGATTTACCTATGTTATTTATATTCAGAAAAAAAGAAATTTATATTAAGAGGAAAAAATCTCTTCTAATTTCCTTTCAAATTTACAGGCTTCGTACTCGATAATATTAATCTTAAAAAAAAAGTAGGAAAATGTAGTTTTAAGATTTAAAAAAAGTAGTAAAAAAAGAAGCTACCGAAAAATTAAATTTGACTCAATTTTTTCATAATTTCCAAATTAAATTACAATAAAAAAAATTATTTTTTTAAAATAAATATTTAAATTACCTGCCAACTTATTTTTCCACAAGAATTAAAATATTTTAAATGATTTCAATGTAAAGCTTTTTTGAAATTTAACTATTTTTAAAATCTACGTCTGTAATTAATCAAAAATTCAATTATTTTTTTGTTGAAATTTTTAAATAAAATTATTTAAAACTTGAATCTCTTCTTATTTCAAAATAAAAATATTAATATTGTTGCAGTTTTTGGGGGAAGGGGGGAGGTCTCTACTAAACGTGACACAATGTATTTTTCATATTTGAAATTGCGTGATAGGTGGGGGGGTGAAAATCTCAAAAAGTTGCGTAACACCATTTGTGAACGCTCTCAGTTTTACAATAATTAAAATTTCCAAAGATTTCAATTTAAAAATCTTTTGAAATTTCATTATTTCTAAAAATGCGCACAATAAGGCTTCTAATATTCATTTATTATCTCAAATTTTAACTGAAATTCAATTTGAAATCAATTCTTATTAGAAAGTTTTAAGAGAATTTCAATTATTTAAATATAAAAATAAATAATTTAATGAATAATTGAATATTTCTTAAAATTGAATTATTATAAAGAACTTACCAAAAAATTTTTTAAATAATTGAATTGAATTTTCAAGAATAATTGCATTTTTTGAATAATTCATTTAAAATTATATTAAAAATAATTGAATTCCCGTAAAAATTTTATATTTATGAAAAGAATAGATAAAAATATTAAGAAAAATAAATAAAATTTATTTTTTTCATAGTTTTAAATTTATTTTTCAAGAAACATAAAATTTGTAAAGATATAAACTCAATTGTTTCAAAGAAAAATTTAAGTTCATACGAAGAATTTCTTTAAAATTGTACTGAAAATAATTGAATTTTTCTAGAGATTGGCACAATTTTTAGAAAAAAATAAATTCTATTAACAAATTTTGTTAAAGTTTTTAAAATTAATTAAATTCCACCAAGAAATTTTATTCAAATTGTTTTGAAAATAATTGAATTTTTCCGAAGAATTTTATAACTCTTGCCACGAATTTTATTTAATTTTTTTTTTTAAATAATTGAATTCGCTTGGGCTATTTTATTGAAATAGTAGATATTGAAAATAATTGAATTTCAACAAATTTTTTTTATTATTTAAATTTCTATCAAGAATTTTATTTAAATTTTTTGTAAATAATTGAATTTTTACAAAGAATTTCATTAAAATTTTTTTAAAATAATTAAATTGAAATTGAAAAGGTAGAAACTGAAAATAATTGAATTTCGACAAATTTTTTGATAATAATTGTACCTATTGTTTATTTATTTAAATTTTGTTACGAAGAATTTCATTAAAATTTCTGAAAATAATTTATTAATATCTTTCAAGAAATGTAATTAAAAATATATTGAAAATAATTATTAATTTCTAATAAACAAATTATATCAAATTTTTTTTTAAATATTTGAACTATTTTGAAGAATTTTATTATTTATAAATGTAATTGAGTTCTAGCATAGAAATTTGAAGAATTTGATAAAAATATTTTTAAATAATTGATTTTTTTCGAAAGAATTTAGGAAAATTGTATTTTAAATAATTAAATTCTTGTGAAGAATTTTATTGTTTATGAAAATAATTTAATGTTTGCGAAGAATTTTATAAATTTCTTTTTTAAATTATTGAATTTTGTAGGGAAACTTTTTATTAAAATAGTAGATATTGAAAATAATTGAATTTCGAAAATTTTTTGAAAATAATTGAATCGTTTGAAAAAATTTTATTTTAAATTTTAAATGTTTTGAAAATAAATTTTGTATTCCATCTATTAGCGAATTTCAATTATTTCAAATTCACAAACATAGAAAGAAAGTTGTTTTTAGTGTCACAAATTTGAAAAAGTATTCAAATAGTAGTAAAAAGTAGTAAATAGTAGGTTTTAGTATATGAGTACGAAGGCTGATTTTATCCTGTTAAAACAAAAATATTGAAATTGATAATTTCAATTTCGCTTTCTAGCTAAAGACATAAAATAAATTCCTAATAAAAATGTAGAAAGGATTTTTAAGTAATTTAAAGTTAAATTTTTTATTTATCTCTATAATTGCGAAAAACCAACGACAGACAGTTTATATAAATATTATAATATTTCTCACATGCATATAGTATGTTTATTGTACATGCAACGTGTACAAAATTGGTCACCAGGAATATTGTCAGAGAATATGTCACTAAAGCGTAATAAACTATTTACTTCCATTAAAATAACATGAAAGTTTTACTAATTTGAACAACTGTGAAATTCACATTATAATTTATTTTCAATTTGAATTTAGAGAATTCAGACATTTATTAATTAAAATTAAATTGAAGCGAGAAAAATTAATAGTACTTTATTGAAACAACTCATTAATCTTTTCATTATGAACTTTTAATTTCAAAACTTTCGGAAAATGTCAGAAAATTTTATACACAAGCTTAAAGCAAAGAATTGACAAGTGGTCGTTTATAAATTTCCAATGTAATAAAATTTTTACTTTTTAAATAAAACTGAAACCTAGATAATTATATTAACTTTGTTATACTATTATTATTAATATACTATCATGATTATAAGTAATATTATTTTGTTACTATTATTAATACTATCATGATTATTATTAATATTATTTTATTATTAGGTATTATAATAATTATTATTATTATTCTTAAAGAAGAAAAAAAGTGTAAGGCATTAGATGATCCAACACATATTATGGAGAAAAAGAGATAAAAATCGCCCTTTAATTTTAGAGGAGTCCCTCCATCGGCACAAAGTCATCATTAAACTCAGAAACTCATAAAGCAGTTCCAGAGAGAGTTTATTTATACTCTATTTAGTAAGTGATCTAAAGAACATCTTTGAATCAGTATATAAACGATGTAACCGCATATTCGAGCCATTAAATCTACAAATCTCTTCGGTTTCCCTATACACTAAAATATTTATTTTCTTTTTTCTATATAGGAGAAAAGGAACATAAGTCCTCGTCTTTTTCGCATTTCTTTAAGAAGATGGTTTTTCTTTTTGAAAAAGAAAATAGAGGGAAAAAAGAAGAAATAGGTGAAAAATATCAGTGTCACTTTAGATGGGAGTCTGGTGTAATGCTTGCTTTTTGCCAGTCCAGTGCACTCGGATTTCACGAATTTACTGTCGCTCAGACTATATACGTTGTGCAGTATCGTAAAATCATAAAATTCCTGTGAACACGACCAATCGTTTTCATGAAACCAAATGATTTAAATGACTCTATTGCACACCTCTATAAAGATAAAAAAAACAATGATCAAAATATATGTTTCAATCTTTCTTTTTTTTCAAACATATTTTTACATTGCAAGTTTGACAGAATATTAATTGCGACGATTTTTTGAAAAAAATATTAGTAGAGTGGGGTGAGAAGAACACTTTTATACTTTTTATGTTATAAAATCGGAATTAAGGGAATAAAAATTGAAATAAAAACTATAATATTATAGATACAACATATCCAAACTAGAATCAAAAGTTGCGAGTTATCTAATTAAACTTATATTCTAAATGGATGGTAAAACAGTTTAATAGTTTTAATAAAACCCAAATGGCTTTTTCCCCCCATGATTTTTTCACCCAACTTTACTCTATTATAGAAAAAAATGAACGAGAAGTGAAAAAAAACTCGTTATAACAATGTTTGCAATACTTCTTCCATAAAGAAGCCAAAAAACGATAAAATTTCAATTTTCATTTTAAATAATAAATAAAATAAATTTTGAATCAGAAATTTTGAACTAGAAACATTGAAAGTTAATGTTTACAACATAATTTTTAATAAAAGAGCTTAAAATAAACCGGAAAGTTTGTTTTATAGGTCGATTAGTCAAAAGTTTCTGACAATCTTCCTAAATAACGTCCATAGGGTAAAACACGTATGTATCAACTGTCCCCCAGGTACATTTTAATATAATTTATCATTTTTGCCAGGGCATACAGCGCTTCTTGAGACAAAAAATACAAATTCAAGGTTTTCAAGAAGTAAATTAATTTTTTTCCAAGGTTCACTTTTTGTGCAAAAACTTTTTTAAAATATTTCCTTATTTAACAT